CCAGGGAGTGCAGCAGGCAGGAGGGGAGCCGAGGGTGCCCGGGGCACCCCAGGGAGTGCAGCAGGCAGGAGGGGAGCCGAGGGCGCCCGGGGCACCCCAGGGAGAGCAGCAGGCAGGGGGGCAGCCGGGGGTGCCCGGGGCACCCCAGGGAGTGCAGCAGGCAGGAGGGGAGCCGAGGGTGCCCGGGGCACCCCAGGGAGTGCAGCAGGCAGGAGGGGAGCCGAGGGTGCCCGGGGCACCCCAGGGAGTGCAGCAGGCAGGAGGGGGGCTGAGGGTGCCCGGGGCACCCCAGGGAGTGCAGCAGGCAGGAGGGGAGCCGAGGGTGCCCGGGGCACCCCAGGGAGTGCAGCAGGCAGGAGGGGAGCCGAGGGTGCCCGGGGCACCCCAGGGAGTGCAGCAGGCAGGAGGGGAGCCGAGGGTGCCCGGGGCACCCCAGGGAGTGCAGCAGGCAGGAGGGGAGCCGAGGGTGCCCGGGGCACCCCAGGGAGTGCAGCAGGCAGGAGGGGAGCCGAGGGTGCCCGGGGCACCCCAGGGAGTGCAGCAGGCAGGAGGGGAGCCGAGGGTGCCCGGGGCACCCCAGGGAGTGCAGCAGGCAGGAGGGGAGCCGAGGGCGCCCGGGGCACCCCAGGGAGTGCAGCAGGCAGGAGGGGAGCCGAGGGTGCCCGGGGCACCCCAGGGTACGCAGCAGGCAGGGGGGGGATCGATGGACGACCGGGAACAGCAGTTGGAGGAGTGGTGCCGACTTTTGGAGTTTGATACCCCCATGGCGACTGCGGAGGAGTCAGAGGCGGACGGAGAACCACCCAGTCCGCCTTCCCCATGCCCCCGTTTCCCGTGTGACACGTGTTTCCACACGTTCGCCACGAGAGGGGCCGCTGCGAACCACATGAGGGTATGCCGGGCGGCTGAGGCGGAGAGACGCGCACAAGCACTTGGCTCGATCCCGTCTCTGGTGGAGACCGACACACAGGAGCGACCGACGCCGCGGGAATTTGGGGACGAGGCGTGGGCAGGGGTTAAGTCATGGGAGTGGGAGGCATTTTTCTGTGTGGAGGCGGTTGGAGGGAGGACAGTGCGCCGAATCCCGCAGCGGGCCCGGTCCGGGGTCTTAGACGCACTCTGTTGCATCTTGAAGCGGCTGAAGAGCCGACCGGGAGATGAAGCTGCTACCCTCCTACTCCTGGCGTTTCCGCGCCTCATCCTAGCCGTGCCTCCCAAGCCAGGCATAGGTCAGAAGGCGCTGATCATAGAGCGGCTGGGGGCCTTCTGGGAGGGGAGGTGGCGGGAGTTGTTCGACGCTGCCATGGCGGCGGCACGGCCAGCAGTTCGCCCACTTGCCTACACGTGCTCTGACCAGGACCCGGAGGCCATCCGCCTGTCACGGTGCCGATCTCGGTGTAAAGTGGGAGAGTGGAGCCGTGGTTTGTCTTGCCTCACAGCAGGAGAGTTGGCTCGACCAACTGAGGCTATGGTGCAGTCGCTGCGAGGGAAGCACCCAGCTAGCAGTGGCGAGGTACCACCGTGGGTTCGTGAGTTTACTGTCGACGCTCCTCAGCGGCCTCCACTCACGACCGACATTCTGGCTAGAGCTATCCACACAGCTACACGCGCCTCAGCTGCAGGGCCATCGGGATGGGTCACAGAGCATCTGCGCGACACTTTCCTCACGGAACCTTCCTGCCTCTCCCACCTGCTGGAAGTGTTCAACCAATGGGTGGCGGGACAGGTCCCCGAGCGAGCTCGGCCCTGGCTCGCCGCATCCAACCTAGTCGGGCTTTCCAAACCCAACGGTGACGTCCGGCCGGTGGCGATCGGGGAGGTGCTTCCGCGTATCCTCGCTCGAGCTCTCTGCATCTCGCTTCGCCCTGTGATGGCTTCTTATTTTCTGCCGTGTAACCAGCTGGGAGTGGGCACCAGGGCCGGGGTGGAGATTCTTACTCATTCTTTCCGGTCAGCGCTGGCCACTCACCCCGACTGGTGTGCGCTGCAGATAGATGTCGCGAACGCCTTCAATTCGTTTCATCGCCACGCGATGTTCGAGGGGCTGAAGGAGTCGCCTTTCTCAGGAATGATCCCATTCTTGCGTGTCTTCTATGGGACACCTAGCGACCTGTACCTCCGAGCGGGCCCTTTCGTACAGAGTCTTGAGTCGGCACGAGGATCGCGACAGGGGGACCCGCTCGGCCCTTTTCTTTTCGCTTTCACGCAGCAGCAGGTGCTGGGGACGGTGACTAGAGAGTTCAGGGACCTACTTTTCTTGAGCTATGCAGACGATACCTACATCCTGGGACCAGCGGCTAGGATTCTGGAGGCTTTTGGGGTGCTGCGAGAGAGGTTGGAGTGGGTGGGGCTGGAAGTGCAGGCGCACGCGCACAAGTGCAGGTTTTGGGAGCGTGGAGGTGGGGATATGGAGCGGGCATTGCCTTTGGGGATGCAGCGGGAGGAGGAGGGTCTTACTGTGGTGGGCGTGCCTATTGGGGAGGAGGATTGGGAGGGGGCCCGATTACGGAAGCGGCTTCGCGAGTTGCAGGCGCCATTGCCGTGGCTCCCCCTGCTCGACCACCCCCAGATGGCCTCGCATCTCCTCGCTATTGCAGTTTCAGCACGGCCGATGTACCTGGCCCGGACTATGCCGCCGCGGCCGGAGGTGGTGGAGGCCTTTAGAGAGTGGGACAGCTGTCTGGAGGATTGCTTTGAGCAGCTTTTCCCCCCTGGCACTTGGGAGCAGGATCCCGGCAGGTCTAGGCGCGCACGCATGCAGCTGCATCTCCCTGTGCGCCTCGGAGGGTTTGGGATCCGGGCGGCGGCCTCTTTGAGTCCGCTCTCCTATGTTTGTGGGTGGGCGCAGGCCGCACGGGATATTGCACATTTGGGGGTGGCGGGCGAGGAGGCGATGTTCGCAGAGTACCTCACCACTTCGGCGGGGGCGGAGCTTCTTGACCCGTGGTTTGCCAAGGCCATTGAGCAGTTGCCCGCGACTATACGCCAGGAGCTGCCGGACTTACCCCTGTGTGTGGCGGCCCCTCCTCTTCGGCTTTTCCAGGCGCGGCAGCGGCAGTTGGCTGTTGAGGAGCTCCAGGCACTCCGCCGCTTGGCTCGTGACGATGCCACCCTGGCCCGTTTCACATCCCTTCAGGGCCCGGGGGCTGGTGCATGGGTTTCGGCAGTTCCGGCTCATTCAGATCTCACATTCACTGCAGCGGAGTGGGGCATTGCTGCTGCTATACGGCTTGGTCTCCCAATCCAGCAGCTGCAAGTGGCGGGGAAGTGTGTTTGTGGCACAGCGTATGATGACCCAGCAGACCCGCATCATGCGCTGAGATGCAAGCACCAACACGGTCCATCTCGGGTGCATGATGAGGTGAAGTTTGCGGTGGCAAAGATCGCTAAGGCGTCAGGGGGGGTGGTGACGATGGAGGATAGTGCGGTGCTGCCGGGGAAGCGGGTTGACGTAGCGGTGCGACGACCAATGGCTGGGGAGGCTCATGCTTTAGAGATTAGTGTCGCGGACCCGCTATCACTGTCTCCATCTCTGCTAGGGCAGTGCGGGCGGTCTATAGGCGTGGCGGCAAAGGAGTGGGAGCGTCGCAAAACGGGGGATTACGCGCCTCTTCTTGCACGGAACCGAGGCGTGCAGTTCACCCCTTTGATAGTGGAGACGTGGAAGTGTCTCGGCGGTCGCTTCCGGCGGTGGCTTCGACAGCAGGGGGACGCGCACGTGGGGCTAGCTGTGTCACGGGGGGCTTGTCGGGAGGATGACACTTCGTTCTCGGCTTACCTTTTGGGGTCTCTGAAGGCGCTCATCGGAGTGGCGTTACAACGGGCGCAAGCTCGTGTCATCCTGCTTCGGGCGGCGTCTTCCATGGGGGGGTTGAATGTGGACTTGGTGGATCGGGAGAGGGACGATGTCGAGGTGGAGGGCGGGCCTCTTTGGGTGGAGGCCCCCTACATGGTGGATGTGCAGATGTGACTTGGGGGGGAGGGGGGGGGGGGGGGGGGGGGGGGGGGGGGGGGAATGGGGTGCGAGATGGGACGTCTGGTAGGGGGGTTGGGGGGGGGGTTTGGTTGTGGTGTTTGAGTTGGGTGGGTGAAAATGAAAATGCTTTTGTATACTGAAAAACGAAGCTATACTGAAAAGTCAGCCATAGACTCATGTTCCGCTAAACTTTCTGTATTGTGTATATTTTCAGTAGTGGGTCTGGGTGGTGGCGATGCTGAATCCGATGCGTAAGTGACTGCTTGAAACGATCAAACTTTGTCCATCCGCCAACTGCACAGTAGTGTTCACAATCGTGGATGTATTCGTATGTAAAACAGTTTTACAGTTTTGTATTCGTATCCGGGCGGATTGACAGTATTTTCAGTAGTCTTTTGGCAGTCACCTCGCCATATTCTACGCGATCCGTCGTGCTGTTTCGATTATGCAAGTCTCAAATTAGTATATTAGTCATGACCTCCTCAGGTCGGCATGAGCCTATTACAGCAGAATTCGTTGCTCTAGCATTTTAGGGCAACGATATATCTAGATTCCGACGTCTGATGGAAACACCTCATCCAGTCTTTTTCAGAATGGCCACAAAACCTAATAACTGCCACCGCTACAATACAAATAAATCTCGTTACAGTCACGGAAGTTGTGATCCCCCGTGGCGTGACATTAGGTGGCATCTAGTCGTGACGGTGTGCCTGTTAGTCTCCTCGGGCTTGCCGCGTGCTGTGATTGCGCAGGCGATAGAACCGTCCCAAGGTAGCACCTCCCCCTCAGGCCTTAATTCCCTTGCCTCTCCCCACGTGCCATTCTCCCTCTCCCATTCCTCACATGCCACGTGTAAGAAATTTTTCTCCCCCTCGCATCGCGACGTACCTTAGGTAATACCATAGCATCTGCAGAATGCCTTTCGCCGTGAGTCCCCGCTGATACCCGCGCTCTCTTCCTATGCGCTCCCTACACGCCCTCTCCACCGTCTAACCCACCTCTGTGCTCCGCCGTTTCTCGGCAGCGGCGGTTCTGGCGGAGTGTGAGCGGGAGTGGGGCGCAACGTTCTTCGGATGGACGGCGGGGGCAAACTGCGCGGACGCGTTTGCGTTGATGTGCGACTCAGATGGCATGATCGTGAAAATGTGAGGCCGCGGAATGGGATGTGCCATGCCATGCCGCGCCATGCCGTGCCATGCCTACGCATGCAATTTCTCTTGCTCCTTCCCTCAACTTGTTCCTTCCATCACAACCCTCTCGCCACCCTCCTTTCCCCCTTCTCTCCCCCCTTCCCGTTGCCACTTTCCGTTGCCCCCCTCCTGTTCCCCCCCTTCCGTTCCCCCCTCGCCCCATCTCTCTGTGAGGGCGCACGAGTAGGCAGCTGGATCATTACGCGGACAGTGGGGGGTCCCTAGGGTCCATTCCACATGCCTTTTGAAGCGCCTCAGAAGCTGCCTTGCCTTGCCCTCCCTCCCGTTCTTCCTCACCCACCTTCCTCTCTGTGAGCGCGCGCGAGCAGGCAGCTGGATCATTACGCGGACAATGGGGGATCCCTAGGGTCCATTCCCCAAGCCCTCAGCAACCTCTCTCGCCTCTCCGTGCTGTGAGTGCGGGAGAAGGGGAGAGAGGGAGCAGGGGTGAAGGGCGGGAGGGATGGAGGGAGGGAGGGAGGGAGGGAGGGAGGGAGGGAGGGAGGGAGGGAGGGAGGGAGGGAGGGAGGGAGGGAGGGAGGGAGGGAGGGAGGGAGACAGAGAGGGAGGGTTGAAGCGAGGAATCGAAACAGGGAAGGGGGGTGAGCAGGGAGCAGGAGAAGCAGGGGAGGCGAGTTGGTGGTGATAGTGATGTGATGGTGACGGTGATGGCGTAGGTAATGGTGATGGTCCTGACTGTGCTGGGGTTGATGTGCCAGACAGATCATGACACCCACCCACTGCACATGCCACTTCCATTATGCGCACTGCAATCACTGCACTCCACACCAATCATGACACCCATCCACTGCACGTCAATTATTATGCGCACATGCCACTTCCATTACACTTTCCATCTTCCTGCGTGCATGTGTGCATGCGTGCGTGTGTGCATGCGTGCGTATGTGTGCGTGTGTGCATGCGTGCGTATGTGTGCGTGTGTGCATGCGTGCGTATGTGCGCATGTGCGCATGTGTGCATGTGTGCATGTGTGTGTGCATGTGTGTGTGCATGTGTGCATGTGTGCATGTGCGCATGTGTGCATGTGTGCATGTGTGCATGTGCGTATGTGTGCGTGTGCGCCTGTGCGCATGTGTGTGAATGGCACTGGCAGGTCACTGACATACAATGCCATGTCCGGGCCCATTCCGCCATCGCTCGCCAACCTCCAAAGACTCTCTACCTTGTGTGTGCACAGTATATGAATACTCTCAAAACTGCCCCCTCCTCTCAATTACACCTCCTTTCACTTTCACAGCGCCTCCGAAACTCACCTACGCCGTCTCCCTTGTTGCTTTGGTCAACGATACGTGCAAGCCAATGTGAGTGACAAGTCTGTCTGCCTTTCTTCCGCTCGTTTTTACCTGGCATGCTCCTGCTCCCTTCCCGCACGTCTCCACTTATGTTGTGTGCCATGTATGTGCCACATGCCACACTTACAAATCTGCATCCATCTGTCAGGGACATTGGCTCCAACAATCTCACAGGGACCATCCCTGCATCCCTCGGGTCGCTCCTCAACCTGCAGTACCTGTCAGTCAGTGTGGCTTTGCTCGCTTACTCACTCGCTCTTTCTCGTGCCACCACACATCTGCTCCTCTTCTGCCATCCAGTGCAGTCGCATTATCTGTTCTTCCTCCCCGTTCCCTCTTCCCCGCTCCCTCCTCCCCGCTCCTTCATTCCCGCTTCTCCCCACTCTCAACCCCTCCTCTCTCAAGTGACCCTGGTATGCACTGTAGATGGTACATCTCAGCCTGTTTGGTGTCCATACCATCAAACCGGTCACACTCTTTCCCCTCCTGCCGTCCAACCAACCAACAACCTCCCTTTCTCCCTCTTTTTCCAACCTCTCCTCACCATGCCTGCCCGGTCAGGTTTCTCAACGACAACCAGCTTATGAACTCACTACCTTTATCTCTTACAAGACTGTCCAAGCTCCAAGTGCTGTAATTCGCCCATTCTCCTTCACTCCCATTCCCCGTCACTCCTATTCTCATCGCCTCACCTCCCCTTCGTGACGTCCCTTCGCCTCCCCTTCCCTCTTTGTTCCTCCCATGTCTTTCCCTCTCCTCCCTTCACACGCAATCATGCAATCTCTTTGTTATGTGAGAATTTTCTCTCTTGTATCTTAAATGAGCTAGAGAGGTGGAGTGAGAGATGATCTTGCTGCTGCCTGCACTGCTGCCGCGCATTCACATCACTCCATACTCGCTTCACCACCACCACTCCCTCCCTTGCTGCCTTGACCACATTCCCTTTGCTCGGCGATGAATGCATTTTCACCCTGCGCATGGTGCATGTAACCATGCTGTGCCATATGCTCACCGCAGTGCCCTTCAGAACAACCGCCTATCCGGCAGCATTCCTGAATCATTGGGTAGCCTGCATCAACTTCGCGTCCTGTCAGTGCTCTCACCCCATGCTTCCTGTCACCCCATGCTTCCTGTCACCCTATGCCTCCTCTCACCCCATGGCTCCTCTCACCCCATGCCTCCTCTCACCCCATGGCTCCTCTCACCCCATGCCTCCTCTCACCCCATGGCTCCTGCCACCCCATGCCTCCTGTCACCCCATGCTTCCCGGAAGTCACCTGATTGATCCGTTCCAGTCTTTCATGCCCTACCTCGTCCCATGTGTCTTGCCGCCCGCCGAATGCATGGCCTCTGACCTTCTCTAGTGCACGTGCCCCTCACTAGCTCCACCCGTCCCTCCCTCTCTCTCTCACGCCCATCGTATGAGCAGCCTGTTGTGTTGTCCAGCAACGCACTGGACGGCTCCATCCCCTCATCCTTCCACCACCTCTCTTTTGACTCGCCTCGAAACTTCTTGAGGCGCCTCTAAGAAATTCCCTCACCCCACCCTCTCTCTCCCTCCCCCCGCATGAGCAGCCTGTTGTCCAGCAACACACTGGACGGCTCCATCCCCTCGTCCTTGAACCGCCTCTCCAACCTCTTATCACTGTGAGTCACACTTTCCAGGGGGCACGCATGCACGCGCATGTGTTATGCTTGTGCATATGTGCGTCAGGGTGTGCGTTTTTGTGTGTATATGTCTGTGTGTGTGTGTATGTGTGCGTGTGTGTGTGTGTTTGTGAATATGTGCATTTTCCTTCCCTTCCCCCTACACTTCCCCCGTGCCCTTCATTCGTCCGCCTTTCATCTTTGCCCCTCTCTGCCCTTCTTCTGAATTCCAAAAAAATCTTCCACGCTCCCAGCCCCACCTCTTCACTCTCTCCCCTCCCTCCATGGGTGCAGGGATCTGACCAGCAACACGTTGACTGGCTCTATCCCCGCAACTCTGGCGTCTCTCATAGACCTCAGCTATCTGTACGGAACCCTTTCTCAAGTCATGAGACGATTTCTGAGGCGCCTCAAAAAAAGTCAACTCTGGCGTCTCTCATAGATCTCAGTTATCTGTACGGAACCCTTTCTCCTGATGTCATGTTTGAGGCGCCTCAAAAGGAGAGCCCTGTTTGTCGTACCCTGCTCCACAGCGCATCAGTTGACCATACTTCCTCACCACATTTTCCCCCTCACGCATGTTCGTTTCACGGCGTGTTCGTTTCACCGCACCTCATGCTTTTTCACCGCACCTCATGCCTTTTCACCTCACCTCATGCTTTTTCACCGCACCTCATGCTTTTTCACCGCACCTCGTGCTTTTTCACCGCACCTCATGCTTTTTCACCGCACCTCATGCTTTTTCACCGCACCTCATGCTTTTTCACCGCACCTCATGCTTTTTCACCGCACCTCGTGCTTTTTCACCGCACCTCATGCTTTTTCACCGCACCTCGTGCTTTTTCACCGCACCTCGTGCTTTTTCACCGCACCTCATGCTTTTTCACCGCACCACATGCTTTTTCACCGCACCTCATGCTTTTTCACTGCACCTCATGCTTTTTCACCGCACCTCATGCTTTTTCACCGCACCTCATGCTTTTTCACCGCATCTCGTGCTTCTTCACTGCACCTCATGCTTTTTCACCCCATCTCGTGCTTTTTCACTGCACCTCATGCTTTTTCACCGCACCTCGTGCTTTTTCACCGCACCTCATGCTTTTTCACCGCACCTCATGCTTTTTCACTGCACCTCATGCTCTTTCACCTTACCTCAGGACGTTGGGTGACAACGGGTTGTCTGGTCGCATGCCTACCTTCATCGGCAACCTCTCCTCCCTCATCTCCCTGTGCGCCTCCTCTCCCTCACATGCCCATGCCCATGCCCATGTCCGTTCCCATACCAATGCCCCTTTCCATGCCCATGCCCATGCCCACGCCAAATTGCATGATTCTCCGAAGATTCGTCTTGCGTCTCTTTCCATCAGTGTGGTTCATGCTGCGCTCAGCCAAAGCAATCTCTCCCTGTCCTCCTTCCATGCCGGCAATTCGTTTGTGCCGTATCACAACGTCTTGCATGTCATGTCCCCACCTGTGTGTTATGCTCCTGGCGTGCATGCGGCTTGGTGCATGCTGCATGGTGCATGGTGCATGCTGCATGCTGCATGCTGCATGGTGCATGGTGCATGCACTTTAACTGTGAGCAGCGACCTGAGTGATAACCAGCTGGTTGGGTCATTACCTTCCGCCGTTTGGACTCTTCCTAATCTCATTAACCTGTACGTACGTGCTGCTTCACCATGTCATGGCACCATGCCTCCACCCATGCCTCCATCCATGCCTCCACCCATGCCTCCATCCATGCCTCCATCCATGCCTCCACCCATGCCTCCATCCATGCCTCCACCCATGCCTCCATCCATGCCTCCACCCATGCCTCCATCCATGCCTCCATCCATGCCTCCATCCATGCCTCCACCCATGCCTCCATCCATGCCTCCATCCATGCCTCCATCCATGCCTCCATCCATGCCTCCATCCATGCCTCCATCCATGCCTCCATCCATGCCTCCATCCATGCCTCCATCCATGCCTCCATCCATGCCTCCATCCATGCCTCCATCCATGCCTCCATCCATGCCTCCACCCATGCCTCCATCCATGCCTCTGTGTTTGGAGTCTCCATCATTCCACATGCCGAAACGTTCGGATCCTATCCCCTAGGCTACGTCTTGAGTCCCCTATGTCTTCCCAATCATCCATTCTTTCCCCCTCTCTTTCTTTCTGCCTTTTTCAGATCTGCCCTTTCTGCCTTTCTGCTTTTCTGCCCTTTTGACATTCTGCTTTTCTGCCTTCTCCTCTCCTTACACACATGCATCTTGCATTTGCCTATCCACCATCCCATGTGCCCATGTGCATGCTGACACAGGGACCTATCCTACAACATACTGACTGGGTCCCTCCCATCATCCATCACTTCCCTTGATGGCATCTCCACCCTGTCAGTCCGTTGCCATGCTGTGCCATGCCTTGCCAAGCCATGCCTTGCCTTGCCATGCTGTGCCACACCACACCTTGCCATGCCGATTGCTATGCCATGCCAAAGCCATTTCATGCCGTACCATGCCATGCCATGCCATGCCATGCCGTTCCCAGGCATCTCAGGACGCCCACTTCCCACATGCCTGGCCATTGATCTTGTGATCTCTTCCTCCCTCCCATCTCCTCCCATCCCCTCTCGTCCCACTCTCCTCTCCCCTCGCATGCCCACCAGCAACCTATCAATGAACGGCTTTACCGGCTCCATTCCCGATGCTCTGGGCAACCTCACCTCTCTCACATCGCTGTCAGTCACCTCACATTGCCGCACCTCACAATGCCGCACCTCACATTGCCGCACCTCACTCATCGCACATTGCAGGGTGTTTTTTGAGCATTACACGATACGTTCTTGGGCAACCTCACCTCTCTCACTTCGCTGTCAGTCGCTGTCTTGACTAAAATCCTCAGTCTCTTCCTCCACTCCACCCCACCTTGCAAAATGCATGGCGCTCAGCCTCGTGCGAGCATGCACGCACTGCTCAGTCATGGTCGAGTTCCATGCTATGCTACTCTCTGCTAAACATGCTATGCTACACCCCGCATGGCATGGCATGGCATGGCATGGCATGTCATGGTATGGAACGGCACGGCACCGCACGGTACACCATGGCGATGGGGTGAATTTACACGTTATGGCATGCCATGGTACGTCATGGCAGGGATCTGAGCAACACGCAGCTAGGCAGCTCCATGCCATCCTCCCTTGGCGGCCTCACCCAGCTGGTTACCTGTAAGCAAGCACCACCATGCCATGCCATGCCATGCCATGCCATGCCATGCACCACTGCTCGCACCATCCTTGAACCCGCACGTCCCTCAACTGGCGGTGCTTCCCACCATTCTTGGCGCTTTACCTGCTCCTTTCTCCCTCTCCCCCTTACCCGTGCCATTCTCCAATGCGCGAATCCCATCCCAGCGGGTTGCAAGGCAGCCAGCTCAAGGGCGTGTTTTGAGACGTCTCAAAACACCTCCCTCTCCTTACCCGAGCCATTTTCCCATGCGCGAATCCCATCCCAGCGGGTTGCAAGGCAGCCAGCTCAAGGGCGTGTTTTGAGACGTCTCAAAACACACTCCCTCTCCTTACCCGTGCCATTTTCCCATGCGCGAATCCCATCCCAGCGGGTTGCAAGGCAGCCAGCTCAAGGGCGTCCTGCCAGCCACGCTCGGGGCCATCAGCTCTCTCGTCTCCCTGAACATCAACGGCACGGGTCTCACATGCCCGGCCCCCGATACCAGCTGCGTTGTGCAGCAGAATCGCTCCTCCGCCTTCTGCTCGCTGTGCCGCGCGTTCTGCTCCAACTGCACGCTACCTTCCCCCGCTCCTCCACCAGCCCCTTCTGGTCAGTCTCCCACTCCTCTTTTTCTAGTCTTCTTCTTCTTCTCCTTCTTCTTCTCTCTCTCCACTTTCAATTTCTCCCTGTAAGTATTCGAGCTTCTTCTTTCCTTGTGGAGAATTGATTGTGTTTCTGCCTTCTTTGTTCAATAATGTTCCTCCCCTCCCTTCCCCAACCCTTTTTTTTCTTGTTACCCTACTCTTCCTCCCTCTCCCCACGCCATCCATCACCCCGCCAGCACCACCCGGTGACTCCCTTCCACCCGCCAGTCAGCCAGGCCTACCCACAGCAGCCATCATCGGCATTGCAGTGGCTGGAGGCCTCCTGTTGCTCGCCCTTGCTGCTGCAGCTCTCTGGATCTGGCACACCCGAGATCGAACAGTGCCACACAAGCAACACAGTAAGATGCTTCCCTTCCCCAACCTGCCTTCAGAAACGATTCAAATGCCTCCTGTTGCTTGCCCGTGCGGCTGCAGCTCTCTGGATCTAAGACACGCGGGATTGAGAAGTGCCGCGCAAGCAACACAGTGAGGTGCTGTTGAAAACGGCAGAAAATTGG